TGAGGATAAGAAGGTTTCATTTTAGCGTATACACAACCAAGGCCCACTCGTAATGTGAATCGTAAACAAGTACCATTCCCAAGCCTAAACTTCATTACATGGACTACCATATTTTCGGTTCAGAAAGTGGCCATAATAGCAGCAAGTTGCTTTTTGGGGTTGTAGTCGGAACAAAGGTTTTTGCTTTGTTTCAAAGACTCGACCTAACTTGTGGACAGAGACAGGGCAATGATGCTTATCCGGAAATATGTACATCTTGGCAATATTTTAACAGATTCCATGAAGTAAATATCGACTTCAGAAATAGATTACGTTGACCTCCTTTTGCCGCGACCGCCGCTGCCAATGGTAGGCATAAACCAGGATCTTGTTCGCCACATCAACACCCTTTATCCTCGTTTCCTCGTGTGAAACACAAATGGACTGTACTATTGGCATGGTTCTATTGGACTACGATCAACCCCTAGCCTAGGAGGGGAGGGGCAATAGTGAGGTTCGAAATGAAAATGAACCCCGTAGCGAATTCGCGTAAAAACCCGACTGGACTTGTTTACAGTTTGATAAGAAATGCATATTTACGGGATAATGTGCTCAGATGAAACCATAATCAAGGCGATTCAGTACCATTCCTAATGAAAATTTGGGCATTCCGAACGATTCATTTGTCATTTCTCGCGCAGAACGCATATTTACAGATATAGGAACTGTATAAGCTTTCTAACAGGGGGGAACATATCGATTTATTACCAAAAGATGGTCATTACCCGATGGGGCGAGCGCATAGCTAATTGCGCGTAGGTAATGACGTTTCCTAATTTCCTTTGAGTGCGTAGATCTTGTAGGATCCTAGTTTGGGTCTGAGTGATGTACATAAAGGTCTAAAATAGAACCCACCAAGGAATTCGTTTAGATTGTAGCTGCCTAGTGCCTTTACAATTTCGGAGAAAGAGTCACTGGATTTTGGCTCACTGGAGACCAATTTATTCTCTGGAGATTTGCTTGGGACACAACATCCACCATTCTCTTGCGGTACTTCAGCTCGCTTGGAACTAGACTGGGCGGGAGCACAGCACGAAGCACCCAGAGTAGTTGAACTGTTATCAGCACTGTAGCTTGTAGCATAGACGTTCAAGTCCGCCTGAGAATCTAAAATTAAAATATCTGCAAGGATTTCATCAGCCAATTAATTAGTGGTAATCATTCGTGAAACCATGTACCTTTGAATCCAGCTTCGCGAAGGTAAGATTCATGTATCGAGTGCGCCCGCGACACATCCAACGTATGCCGCCGCATCTTGCATGATCGCTTCAGGGAGTGCTTTCTTGGCCACAATATCGCTGATAGAGATGCGCCCTCCGGGCTTCAGTACGCGGAACACTTCCTTCAGAGTAGATGATTTGGACTCGCTCGGGATGAGGTTGAGCACGCAGTTGGATATCACACAATCCACGCTGTCGGAGGCCAGAGGGAGGGACTCGATTTTGGAATGAATGAACTCGGTGTTCGTCAAACCCCTCTTCTCAGCATTTTCGGTAGCAAGCTTGACCATATCCTTGTGGAAATGTGCATGTTAGTGGATAGATTGTTCTCGTCTCGAAATGGGAATGCAGGACTCACCAATGTCATATCGATGCCGATTGCCTTGCCGGTCGGGCCGACTTTCTGGGCGGCAAGGATGATATCCATACCAGCTCCAGAACCCAAGTCCACGACAACTTCCCCCTCTCGGAGGTGACTTGTCGCTATGGGATTTCCACAACTCAGGCCGAGATTGGCGCCTCGAAGCTCCTCTATCTCGTCATCGTTATAGCCAAATGCGGAGGCTACCTTGCGATAGTAGTCGGATTTATCATGGGTGGTGTCGCCATCAGTGGACTGAGCCGCGACGGCGCCATAATGGTTTTGGACAATGGAGTGGATTTGTTCAGTGGGGTTAGACATGGTTGTTGAACATTAAATATCTGACTGGAACTGGTTGATTTATAGTTTTTGAGAGTTCTGGTGCATTTTTCCTCAAGGTGGGGGTTTATGAATGGCAGAAGGCCTGCCGGGGCTGTGGCCGAAGCCTTTACTGGGCCTGATGACAAATAATCATGCAAATGTACAGTTAAGCTGTATCGTGTGACTAAAGCTGGATATTCTAGAGTGTTCTTGAGCAACTAATCTTTCTTTCCGTGGGCATAGGGCAGCCATTTCCCATCCGAGGCCGCGTCAGCTCCCCCCATGCTTGCGTAGGTATAATGATACATTGTACAAACTTGTTCCAGAACATACCCTCTGTCGGTGATTTGAAAGGGTGAGCTTGTATTGGAGCTTTCACTTCCCCACATCGGAGATTACAGGAGAAGGGGACCCTCCCGGTCGCGACTATGCATTGGTTTAGTCTCATTTTCTATTCAGTCATTAAAACTACGTTACTACAGTACTTTTTCATTTCGTTTTTTGTTGGATTTTTGGAGATGGTTCATGACTGATACAGGTGCAGGACGCTCACGGAACAGTTCGGCCGTAGTCGACTCGAATTAAGTTGGGATATTCCGAGGAGGCAAGGTCTGTTCATGAGAATGTACCACTTGAATTCCAACTTGTTTCTATACAATAGAATCTACATTACAAATCCGCAACGATTTAGAACACGTAATCGTCTGTAAAACTGCTCCAGAAGACATCTACAATGGTTCCTGGAGATGCTAGTCAGAGGTGTCATGCAACTATATCAAAGCAGAACCGTAATTTCTGGGATATCCCGATAACGAACAAGCCATTGCTTGATACCTCCCTCGAGGACGAGTGCCGTACTCTTCCCTTGTATCCGTGCTATTTCATCGGCATACCATCCTGCTGTTCTTGGGCCACGACCCGTTGGTCCACAGTTGTTACAATGGAATATGACTTTGGGAATATGGCCCAAAATCGCTACGATTGCAGGCAAAGTCTGGTGAAAGGAGTGGGCGGGAAGATTGATGGCACCCTTGATGAACCCATCCTACAACGCAAGAGATAAGCATCGCTTTTAGACAGGGAGTATAGCGTTTAGCCCCTTTTGGCCAAAAGGTAGCTGAGGTGATAAACTGACCTCAAAGTCGGTGCGGCGAACGTCCACGACGATATAGTCTTTACCACTGAGAAGATCCCCCTCCATCAATGCCTTCAGCTCTTCAGCGCTGATGCGCTCGGGCTTCGAGACCGGTTGAGGCAGCAACGCATGCCATGGTAAAGGTTGGGTCTCCTGGATGGGCTGAATGCTTGGATCTATCATGAATATCGAGGGAGTTTTGAGAAACGTAGTGCGAAGAGTAAATCAATCGATGATCTTTTAACAAGCTAGCGAGAACCAGACCGAAAAATGCTGGCAACTTGCGAGATGCACTCGAGACCCAGCGATTACGTGAATGTCTCCACACACGTTCGTGCTTACAAACACGCCAAGTTTAGCCGAGCCCCTATCCTTGAATTACTTGATCATCTTGGAAATTAGAAGTCGGGTGACCCGTTATCTTTTGGACCACTCCGTCACCCTTGGACAACTCGAAGAGTGCAACACAATGTCTCAAATAGAAAAATCGCCCATTTTTATGGACTCTTGTCGGAACTGCGAGTTTTGCGACGGTCTCAATGAGAAAACAGTTGAAGAAAATGTTGGTCAAAACGACCAACCAAAGGCCCTCGTTGATGAAAGAATCGAAAAAAAATCCTCATTCAAAGGTAATTCCTTCAAAAGGGATATATAGCCTACTTCCTGACCCAAACACTACTCCTAGTTTTGTTCCAATCTCTTCCATTTTTGGATCGTTATCTCGCAATCTTCATACTAGTGGCTATGGTGCTCGGTATCTTGCTCGGGGTTCATCAGGTCAGGCAAAGAATGATTAAAAGTATCAGAATTTCTCATCCGTTCATAGGAAGAAGCCGTGCACAGGACATTTGATGGCGCGTCTTGGCATGGTGTTTCGATCCGTATGTCGAGAGTTTGACCCATTCTAGGATGTTATCAGCTTATCGTGTGTCTCGCACAGCAATCCTCGTTGGTCTCCTTGTAATGATGTGGCCTATCCTCACCAAGGTGCAATATGAACGTCTCCCATCCATCTTTTCCACTCGTGCTTTATGGTTGCACATTCTTCTTTCCCTCGTACTCAACTGGATAATTGGCCCATTTGTCATGCTTGGTTTGGCTTGGGCCACTCTTCCCGAACAACGACTCCAACATGAACGTCAAGGCGTCATTCTTGTCGGCATAGCTCGCTGTATCGGTGTGTTGGGTTTCATTTACCGTCATGATCCTTCTGTGGTCTAACCCTAGTATAGCTATGGTTCTAATCTGGAGCGGG